GACCATGTGGCCTGCAAATCCTACAGTGCTTAGTGTCTGGCCGTTTACATGAAAAGTTTGTTGACCCCTGTGCTAGCGTATAATCTAAGACTGGTTTTTTAAATGCTGGAAAAACTGCAGTCTGGTTAGCCAACTGCCAGTTAGTTATTACTGACGAGATTTTGTTTTTAGTTTGACATTTAAATTTTAAAAAATTTCTACCGGAATGATAAAATAGGATATGTTGGGTAAAGGAAGAGCATAAAATGATTTCAGATATCCAGATTTTTCTCTCTCAAATCTTCATTGCAGACAACGTAGGCATTGAAACATTTATCTGTAGGCATTTGTCTTTGGATGTCACAAAGCTGTTTGCTGAGGTGGGATGCTGATAATTATCAACTCTGGAAAGAATTACCCAAAGGAAAATATGTGAGAGTGGAGTGCGTTGTTGCAAATAAAACTGTGCTGGATCTTTTAGGAAAACATTTCCTCCTGACCCTTAAATGTCTCTAAAAACATGTGCCAAGAATTCATTCTAGCAGCAGACGACACACCCAAAATGCTGAGCTTGAGTCCACGGAGCTGCCTCTTTCCCCGTCACTTTTCCTGTAAGGCTTAGTTTATTTTCTTCTGAATGCCGGTTCACGTTTCCCTGGTTTCTCACGGAATAAATGACGTTCCCCATCCCTGGCCCCGCCTCACCCACCGCCCAGCCCCCAAGACGCAGAAGACCACTAGAAACGTTCCCCTCCCTGGCCATTTCATTCTGTTGCCTGAAGATGAACTGTTCGGCAAGGCTTCTGACCTTGTCACAGGAGGAAGTTCCTCCCACCCAGCTTTGGTAACACGGTCTAAACAACTCACACCGGAGCGGCTAATAGTTCCACAGGCAGCGTTTCCATCAGCACGCGAACTGCAGATGGCAGCGTGGACAGGGAGGGGCTTCGTCTTCCTGAGTTGAGACTTGCCCGCTGGCTGCCTCGAGTGTACTTTCTTCCAGCGAATGTTTGCAGTCAGAGAGAGAGCTTGGAGTAAATGACGCTCTCAGGAAAAACAAAATAGCAAACCGGCCTCGACAGGGGTCTGTTTTTGTGACTGCCGTTTGGTAAATGTATCAGTAGGTGTGCAATTTCATTGGATATTCTGTTTTGTTTTGTTTTGTTTTTTTCAATTGTCTTTGTACCTATGATTGAAAACGGTAGTTGGTCTATGACTGTTGAGGAGGTAAGTTTTTTTGTTTCTTTTTTTTTTAAATCTGTGTGTGTCTGTGATACCGGCGTCTGTCTGTCTGAAAAATGCAGTATCCTCCTCCCAGAAGTTACTGAGCAAACTTGCCCGGCTGTTCGGCTCCCATGCCAGCGGGGGAGGGCCCCGAGGAGGACAGCGTCGTCCGCCTTCTGTTCAGGTGATGTCAGGGTGTGCAGGACGGAGGACGTTTCCAGCGGTGCGGTGTGAGGGTTCCGGGTTCTGTAGGCGGCGTCTCCCGCAGGCTTCTCGGAGCGGAGAGGGGAGCCGTCTGCCTGCGGGGCCGACCGGCTGGGCACAGCTGGGCACAGCTGCCGGCGCGAACCAGGCTTGCGGCTGACCCCCCGGGCGCTGGCGGGCGGGCCGCCCTCGGACACATTGCAGGATGAACCTGGCCGGTCCAGACGGAACTTTCTGCTCCGTCGGGGCAGCAAGGCGAACCGTTTGGCGCCTCAGTCAGTTGCGGGGAACACAAGCTTTGGCCCCTCGGGAAGGGCTGCCACAGACAGCCGAGCAAGAAAGCCGGCTGGACCCCTCGGTGAGCGCGGGCCGGGCCCTGCGCAGGGACCCTCCACCTCGCCAGGGAGCGGTGCCTCTGCGGTGCAGGGAGGACTTTGGAGGACGATGCTGCATTTTCGGCCCCACGGCTTGCTTTCCCACGTGTCTGCGCGCAGCGCGGGCGTCACCTTCCCACTGTGCTGCTTGCTGTGTGCCACACGCCCAACTGAAGCTTCTGCTAAAGCCGAGCCAGCAGGTGCGTCCCTGAGGCGGCTGTGCTTCCTAGGGACCCTTAGACGCTCACAGCTCCCCCCCAGATCTGTCCCCTGGCCACCGCCTCCACCCCCGTGACGCGGCCGCGTGCCACAGGCGCAGTAAGGGGAACTTTCCGGTCAGCACTCCGGCGGAGCTCCTGCCTCTTCTCAGATAACATCAGGCGTCAGGCCTTTATCTCCAAGCAGCGGTGAAGTACCACCTGCTGCATCTTGAAAATACTTGGAACAGAGTGCTCTTCCCTGTGCGATTTCCTCTGCAGGTTATTTGCACTCCCCCGGAAGCGTATGTCGATGTGACCTGAAAAACTGGTAGCTGCCACGTGGTCACTGGTGGTAAATGACTGTAACCTAAGTAAGAGTTGAGCGGACTCTGCAGCTTGGAATCCCGCAAGTAGGATTTCAGTGGGAACCGGACGCCTAATTCAGGAATAGGTATCAGAGTAGCATCCTCGTGGTCTCTCGGAGGGACTGGTCAAGAAAGAGAAAAATCGCTCCTGGGCCCCAGCGGTCTGCTTTGTGAACTATGTTGTGAAGAAAAGGGGCTCGGTATTGCTGATTGTTCCCCGTGAGGAGGACACGGATTGGAAAAGTTTCCGAAACCCCCCTCCCCTGCTTTTTTTATATATAATTCTCAGCTTCCTACAGATATGCAAGTTGGTTCCACGAAAAGGAGGGATATTTAGACAAATCAGGGTAGAAGACTAAGTCTCTGGCCTCTGCTAGAATTTGGATTGCTTCAGCAACGATTGAAAGATTGAGCTGTAGATGCCCTTGATATATATATTAGTGTCTCCTTTTATTACACTTCTGTGGAGGTTAGAACTTCTATAGATTGAGGGGACTGCCAGAATTTGATGAGTGCAATGTGCCCTACAAATACGTACACAGTCTTTGCAGGGATATCTTGGGAAAGCGTTCCTGGCAAGGCCATGCATTGGGGAGGTTACGTTGTATCTTGGTCAAAAAACGAAGATCCAGTATGGTTTCCGGTAGAATATGAGCTTCTAACAGGAGTGGACTTTTAAAAAGTTCTCATTTGGGCATTTTAGCCTTTTCAACGGAATTGAAATTCCAAATGACTTTTAATTTTTTTAAACAACATTTTAAACACCTGTGTTGTGTATTCATTGTAGAAAACTTAGAAACATTTGTAAGGTACAAAGGCAACCATAAAAATAAATCTACCTACAATTAATAGTGTCATTTATGTTGTTAGGAAAATGAGATTTTCTAGTTACTTGTTTTTTTTTACTTCTGTAAGGTGGCTTAAGCATTTCTTTCATCATTAGATATTTTTTCCCTTAATTTTAACACTGCATGGAATTCTATTATGAATTTATTTAAAAGTATTTAAGAGATTTTGAACTGTTTTTATCTTCTTCCATAGATTTCTTTTTCAGAAATGTTTTGGTGGGGCGCCTGGGTGGCTCAGTCAGTTGAGCGTCCGACTCTTGATTTTGGCTCAGGTCGTGATCTCAAGGTTCTTGAGTTTAAGCCTTGAGTTGGGCTCTGTGCTGACAGCTTGGAGCCTGTGTGGGATTCTCTCTCCCTCGCTCTCTGCCCCTCCCCAGCTCGCGCTCTATCTGTCCCTCTCAAAATAAATAAACAAACATTAAAAAAATGTTTTGGCATTCCCCAGCTATCCCACTCTTCCTTTTCCAAAAGAGAAGACAGAAATAGACCCTGCGGGCTAGTTCTAGTCAACACGCAGGTTCGTCCTTTGACCTCCCGCTGGCCCTGCGGGGGGGGGGGGGGGGGGGGGGGGGGAACCCTGGACCCTCTACCTCCATGGAAGTCTTGGGCTCTGCCCTCACCATCGGTTTCTTAGCCCTTCTTTAAAAAACAAAAAGAAAAACAGCAACTAGGCTCTCTCTTTTTCCCACGTAACCAATCCTGGGTTGTTCTGTGGGAGATAAGAGCCATCCGCCCCACACGCTGCGCTGTGACACGCTATCTTCCGGGGCATAGATGAGTCTTCTGGCTGTGTGGCACTGCTTTGTCTGAGTTTCTGCCGCCCTTGCAGAAAACACCATTAGGAGTATAAATCTGAAAAACAGGAAGGTCTCATCGCATTGAAGTCTTTCCTGTCAGCTCTCTGAATCTCCTGTAACTGCTAACAGTAGCAAAAACAAAAACAAAAACAAAAAACCGCTTTTGATACTTTGGAGTGGAAGACAGTAAATTGCCCTTCTGAAAATCCACATGAACGTACAGAATGTAACTTGGACCTTTCATCATATAACTTTGTTTCAGTTTTCCTGGGAGTTCAAGAGGAAAAAAAAAAAAAAACAGCCCAGTGATTTTTTTTTTTACCCAGAACCTCTTATTCTGAAGTTTTAAAAAACACCCAAACAAATATTTAGAGACACTGCCGTAAGGACTGTTGCTCTTTACTAATAGAAAAACTGGTGTTCAGGAAGCTATTTTTACCCCAAGAATGGAAATGTCCGTTGATAGCAAAGTCACCAACCCCTATCCTGATTCTGGAGTTAGTGCTCTTAATTAAATATATTCCATGAATTTGAACTCTGATACTAGACAGACGACTTGAAGAAATATCTAGAGGTTCCCCCCATTCCACCCCTTCTATGTTGTGCCGTTTCCCTTGAGGTCAAGGGTGGGGTTATTGTACACGCCTCAAACAGAGAAGGTCCCGTGTCTGTGCTCTAGGTCTAGATGAAAATGTCACAGGACTGGGGATATGTGGGGAGATTGTGCCTTTTGTGGCACGTGCTTTACAACGAAGCCTTTTCTAAGGATGCCTGTAAGGGACAGTTGCAAGTCTCACCGGGTAGAGAACCGCATCTGCACTGCTAGCTTGACTCACTGTCGTTTCCCAGACGGCAGCCCTGCGTCCCTGTGCCACTCGCGCCTTCTTTCTTCACCTTTCAGAGGTTCACTTTGTTGTCGTTGGCTTGTGTTTCCTCCCCAGCCCCCTTGGCCTCTGCTAGTACGTCCAGGTGCTAATGCCCACCTCTGGCTGTCGCTCTTTTCCTGCAGAGGGAGAACCGGAGACTACAGGAGGCCAGCATGAGGCTGGAACAGGAGAACGATGACCTCGCCCATGAACTGGTCACCAGCAAAATTGCTCTGCGAAACGACTTGGATCAGGTAAACTTGGTTGACCTCCCACCGTGACGACCTCCTCAAGGGCGAGGACTGAGTGGCGCCCACCACGGTCCCGCCGGGGCTCACGCTGTGCTTGATACCGACTTGGCTGCCTGTTGGATGGAGGGACAGGCGATGGGGCGGGAGGGGGCAGCTTGTGCTGATGGGAGAGGGCGGAAGACGCGGAGCCTTTGAGAACGGAGGGTTTGGGCTATTTCCAAACAGCATGTGCGACGTATTTTTTTTTTATAACTCTCAACTTCTCTGGTGTCTCTTCTCTTCATTGGTACTTTTCCTAAGCCGAGGGCTGCCAGCATAATTACCCAGAGATATCAGTCACCAAGAGTATACGGATGCCCTTCAAACATTGGAGGGCACTTCTTTTTGTGGAACAAAAAGAATTCTCAGCTACAATAAATGTGAAGCTTTTATATGAAGTATGTACATTAAGACGTATGTCTTGTTGGATTGGGAGGCGTTCTAGTGGCTACTAAGGGCCAAGGCCGCCTGGGTGTGAATCCTGGCATTACCGTTTACTAACCCCGTGACCCTGGGCGGTTCGGACCCTGCCTGTGGGTTTTGAATAAGGCAAAGCACTTGAACAGTGTGAGTTCCAAAAATGTTAGCTGTTGCTAGAAGACCTTAAATCGTTCAGCTTCCCTGGTTCTTTCCACCAGTACCGAGAGCTTTAGGACTTCCTGTTTTCTACTGCTAGTGTTTTCAACGATAGTTGGCAAGATGGAAGGAGTCTTGTGCAGATTTAAAATTATCCCTCTTTTCTGACTTAAAAAGTGATTACTCCCAACAAATGGTGCCAGGGTCAGAAAAACTGAGCCTTATACTGTTGAACCTGTAAAAAAACAGAGGCGTTACTTGTGTTCTAACTGCTCGTTGACAACATTTAAAATACACACCTAATGATATGAATATGATTAAATGTTTGGGATGGAAGGAGTTTGTTAAATGTTTACAAATCGTCCCTGCCTCAACTCCTTGTTCCCATACTAATTTTGCGGTTCCAGAGTTTCAGCCACAGGAAGATGGGCAATAAGACGACTATTAAGGAAAATCGTGCTAAAGGGGGAGAAGGGGAAGCTGAAGGAATCCACACTAGACAGAGTTTAAAAATAAAACAGAAACTCTGCTGTGGGGACACAGGATGTAGAAGGTAGAAAAGCAGCCTGGTGAAGGGGTGGGGGCGGGGTGGCCCCTTTCACCGCAGAACTGCTCAGCCAGGCTGTTGGGAAGTTATTAGAGATGGCGTGAAAAATGTGTGAGTAGGAGAGCCGGAACCAAAGAAGACAGAGGGCCTCCGTTCCATCAGGGCTATAACCAGCCTGACCTTGGCTGGTACATTTATGTATTAATGAGACTATGGTGGTGAGTCAGTACTGTGATGAAATTCTTGTTTCATATTAGCTCTCCTAACAGCCTGACTCACATTTGATTCTGTCATTTGGAATCTTGTATCCATTAATAGTTTTCTTACGATGGATAGCTAAATGAAAAAGCGCTCTAAGCAGTTGGGCTCTGCGGGGATGTGGTGAGATGCACTAGAGAGAGTTGTACATTGAAAGTTGTGCGGGAAGTGTATTTGATATTCTCTATCAAGCCCTTAAACGGATTAAAAAGTAATGAAATGAAATATCCACTGAGTGTCTACTATGCACCGAGGACTATATTTAGGACTTTCATAGCATTAGCTTATTTAATCTCGCTAATGACTTGACTCCATCAAGCAGGGATTGTTTTAATCTTGCATTTAAAAATGAGGAAAATGACATATACACTCTGACTTGGAAAAACCATGCTAACAAAACAGAGACCTGATCAGAAATATGTGTGCAAGATTGTTAACTACTGTGTCACTTGGAAGAATAAAAAGTGGAAATAATGCCTATGTCCAATAGAAGGGGAGAATGAAAGTATATCTGTAAAATGTCTTTGGAATTGTTCTTCAAAACAGGGAAGATGATGTTATAATAATATTTTTGTAAAACCATATATTTATCTGTATGTAATGCTTGCATCTAAATAGCAAGGGATATGGCTGGCATGGGGCAGTCATGTTAGGAAAGAAAGCTGAAATATATACTTCAAAAGGAAAAACACAAGAAAATACATCAAAATATTAGTACTAGATATCTCTGGGTGATAAGAGTAAATCTAATTTGGGGTGCCTGGGTGGCTCTGTCGGTCAGGTGTCCAACTTCAGCTCATGTCATGATCTCACACTTTGTGAGTTCAGGCCCCACATCTGGCTCTCTGCTGTCAGTACAGAGCCCACTTCAGATCCCCTGTACCCCCACCTCTCTCTCTCTCTCTCTCTCTCTCTTTCTCTCTCTCTCTC